GATTTACTACAAAATAATATTCATTTAAAATGAATTTGATACTATTTTAATTCATTTAGTAGTATTTTGTGGGAATGATGGCCGAATTGAAAATATTTTTTTCCTTAGTCTAGCATAACTTTTCTACCTTTAACTTGACTATGCATTAAGGCCATGAGTTTTCCCCCAATAATGACTGTTGCTCTATACTTAAGAGTTTAATTCCCTAATCAAATTCAACTAAACAATAAAAAAATAGGTTTGTCTACTACGTAGACAAAATTAAGCAATCCTTTTATCTTATTAATTACAAGGAAAAAAGATAATATTTGAGTTGGCATTATTTTCTAGTCAAATATGCTAAAAAAGTCATAAATGCATTCATAACAGCCAGAAAAAAATACTTGTTTTCTGTATAATCAGTTCCAGAGAACTCTTTTAAAATGCATAGTAAATTAGTGCATTAACATACATTTTTTTAAAATAAAAACAAAACAACTTACGGGTGGTCCAGTATCCCCTTTTGGCCCTACCAGATTCTCCATTTCAAGCATTGCATTAAGATCTTCATAATAATAATAATCATAAAGCTCAGATCCGTAACTATTTTCAACGGAATAAGTGATGTCAGGGTCAAATTCACCTTCCTTCCTTAGATCAAGATGGTTATCCACAGAAGGCTCATCAGTCAATCCATATAAGCTCGCATTTACAATCTGTTGCGTTTCCATCAGTTCATTAGTATTTAGGTTTGCTGTAATCGCCTTCTTGAGATTATTCATTGTTTCCTGCTCCATATAGGGGAGAACAGAGGACATCTTCTTTGATGGTGTGAGACCAGTTTCTCTATTGTCACTCCATGTAACGTTGTTGAACTCATTTAGAAGAGAACTAAACTTTCCGTTGGTATTTGATCTTGCACTGAGGTGCTGATGGGCCACTGGCTGGTTTAATTTTGTCTGATTATGATCCTCAGTGATCATTTCTTTGACCTGAATTCCAAGATTCATGAGATCCACAACAGATGTGTTTTCCAAAGGAAGAGACATTAACTGAGATCTTGGTAACTGGTACTCTTGTTGATTATGTTTTGTTGCAGAATCATTATTTATGATATGTGGAATGCTTTTGTCATCAGTCGTTATATGCTCTGGCAGAACATTTTTACTAAATTGTTTGAGTAAAGGAGAGTTTTCCATAATTTCCATATATGTCTGAGGAAGGCTTATCTCAGGAGGCCTGTCTGCATCTGCTTGACGACATTGATGTTTCATATATGTGCAATAATTTGCAGATGCCTCTGCTGAAGGAATAATATCTAACTGACATACTATTCCTTCAAAATGGACAGAATCATTATTCATACTTCCTAAAGTAAGCACACTGTTGGAATCAAAGGTCTGAATATCTGAAAAAGTCTCTGTACTAAAATATTTCTTCCCACAGTCAACAAACATTGAAACAACTTTGTTTTTAATATTAATGGCAAACGAGTGCCATAATCCATCATGAACACTGTAGTTGAAAGATACAGACTGCTTCCCTCCAACGTATATCACTAATTTTTTAGGTAGTAATTGAACTCCCAATTGCAGTCTATTTTTATTTCTAATGCTGAAGAGAAATGCATTGTTTATTCTGTGTGACTGTAACCCAATTAAGATTGTAAATGGCTGTACTAGGTTGACAGGTAAAATTTTCATGAGAGGTGACTCGATATAAGCATCATTTGTTAAAATGACACCTGATTCTGTTAAATGGATTCCCTGAGGTAATGATGTAGACGTGGATGGTACAGCAGTCACTGATGATGAATGTCTTACATCTGTGATTCCAAGGCCTAGTTGGTGTAGAATATCTATGCCTGGAAATTAAAAGAGAGAAAGAATCTTACTCTTATGCATTAATGTGTTTGTATATATGCTTGAGTATGATAAAACCTTGTCTGTAGCACTAGTAATTAATTTTAAAAAATATGTTCTATTAAAAACCAATTTCTAGGGAGTTAGAGGAAGAGTGAAAGTAATACATCTTATTCAATAATTTGAATCTAACACTCCTCTACATAAATTCACACTTCTGTCTCTAAAGGCAAAATTTAATGAATAAATTCATTTTCCTCTTCTACTTTTCAGTCAGTTAGTATTCTCTTTTATTACTCCAATGGCTGTACATGCAAATTTTTAGTTGTAATTTCCTTCTTTGAGAACATACATTTTACAATGTCTACAATCAAACAGAAACTGAAGTCATAGTTACAACATAAAATTTATAATTTGAAACAATTTTACAAATTAAGTGACAAAATCTTTTAAATTCTTTTTAAGCTGTTTTTTATTCAAGCATCCTGGGAATTTATATGCCACAAAGACATTCTCCCTGTACTTCATATCTTAAGCTTCATATGTTCACACTAGAATTAATAGGGAGCTCTGAAGACACCCAATGAGATAGACTGGAATGATGATGAGGATGGCACAGGACAGGACAGTCTTCAGGCCAGCTGTTCACAGAGATCACTATGAGTTCTAATCACCTGATGGCACCTAACAACAAGACGTAGCCTAAGGGTAAGAAGCTTCATTGCAATTTCACCAGCACATGGTTCGAATCGACTAGCTGTCCCACAGGAGAAGGATGTGCAGTTTCTTCTCGTGCAATTAATTAGCTGCCTCTGAAACCTGCGAGGGTCAGCTATGGATTGGCTCCTACTCAATGGTACGCAACAGCAATAACAACAACACTGGAAATAATCATACCCTAAAATTTTTCTGATACTTTCTAAACAAGAGCCCTTAATTCCTTTATAGGTGGACATCATAATTTTTCTCTCCCTTCCAAATTTCTTCCTCTTCTGTTTCTCAGTCCACTACAACAATTTTTGTCAGATTTTCAATTTCTTTTTTAATATTTATCATATATTATAGATTTTTCTGATTTTATTGCTTTTCATAATATTACTGATAGTATGGTACGTATCTCCCTTTTACAAATATAGACTCCTTGAGGACAATGTTTTCCATTTGATTCATTACTGTATTTCTGCAGCTCTGTCCTTGTAAATAACTCCATAATTTTTGAATGACTGAGCCTGCCCCACTAAAGTTTGATAAATATTTAAATTCTAAAAAATTAAGTTATACTGAATTAGTACTTACTTAAAATATAGAAACATTCAGTCAGTATTTAGTCAGTATTCTTTATTATTCTTTGGAATAGAAATATTTGACCTGTTTATACTTATCCATTTACCTAACTACCCATCTATCTACCATTTTCAACCAGAAATTTGAAAGAATTGCAAATTTGTAACTACTGTAAATGGAAACGTTTTCAAAGATTATTCCAAAATATTGAGCTACACTTTTCATTTTGCAGAAAATCAGTAGATATTTAAGAATTTTCATTTGTTGCTAAGAAATAAATACATAGGGCAATTGTCAGACCTGTTTCTGACAATTGTATGAAAGAGATTACTTGAATCCTAGTTAGTAGTTTAGTAGGTAAGGACTTGTACTGCCAACCTAAAGACATGTGGTTCAAACCCACCAGCTGTTCTATAAGATAAAGACGGGAAATCTCCTCCCATGTGAGCTGCAGCTTCTGAAAACCAGTGAAAAGTTGGTTTTGACTCAACAGCCATGAGTTAATTTCCAGGTTTTCATTCATATATAATCTAAAATATAACTCAAATTATTCTTATAAGTTTTACAAACAAATATTTCAGGATTAGAATAAAGATTATTTTATGCATAAAGTAGCTGTGATTTTATTACAGTTTTAAGGAATATACAGTTGGCCTTTTGTGTCCTTGGGTTCCTTATGTGAAGATTCTGGGTTGAGAGAAAGCAATTAAGTGGCAAAAGCTTACAGGGACTGTTAAGTGCTGTTTATACTGTAGTAGGTATTATAAGAAATTTAGAAGTAACGTGAAATATATAGGAAGATGTGCATAAGTTATATGCAAAAAATATGTCATTTTATATAATGAACCTTGAGCATCCTAGGATTTTGCTATCTGCAGGGGTCCTGGAATGAAAATCTCTTGTGAAACCAATGGATGACTATAAAGGCTTATTATGTCTAAGGTATATCACTATATTAGAGTATCTCTTAAACTTTCCATGAAAATATTTTTAATAGCAGCATTGAGTTATATACACCACCAGGAACTTGGGGGCATATTTTAAAAAGACACAATAAACACAAAATTTTCTTTTCCTTTAAAATAACTGGGCTGCTTTTTCTTTTTCTTTTTTTAAAAAATATGAGTGGTGAGGGAGCTCTGGTGGCCTAGTGGCAAGATGCTGCACTGCAATCCCAGAAGTACGCGGTGCAAATCCACCAGATGCTCTGCTGGAGAAGGAGGGGGCAATCTCCTCCTGTACCAGTCAGATAAGATTTGACGGTACACGTAAAAATAATACAATAAAAATTTTAAAAAAATATGAGTGGTTGATCACTGGGTCGCACTACTTAATGGGTGGAGGGAGAGGTGGGTAAAGGAAATGGGAAAGATCCAGTGTGAAAAACAATGTATATAAACTTTGTAAGTAAACTAGTATAAAATAAAAATTTAAATAAAACAAGCACAAATACCAGTTAAATTACTTAATTACACTCATCTCAGATTTTTCACAATCTGAAAAGTAAGCTATAGAAATAGCTTGCTGCTTTGAAAACCCCAGTGCTCTATATTTAAAGTAAATATATATGAGAAGGATGGGCAATCTCCTCTTGTGCAATTAATTGACTCTAAAAACCCACCTGAGGGTCAGCTATGGTCAATTCTGACTCTACAGTGTAAACAACAAATATATATATATTCATAAGCAATGTGTAAAAGTTATCATTTTATGGTGTCATATGTTGCTGATGTGAGGTAACGTTGGGTCAAGTCTAACTCATAGTGAACGTATGAACAACAGTTCTGAACCTCGCCCTATCCAGTGCCATCTCCATCATCTCTGACCTAGGCAAACCAATTGATGCCATCATTGTATTAATCCGTCTCATTGAGAGTCTTCATCTCTTTGGCTGAACCTCTGCAAGCATGATGTTCTTTTCCAAAGAATAGTCCTTACTAACAACATGCTCCAAATATGTAAGATGAAGCTTCGCCATCCTTGCCTCAAAAGCACACTGGGCTGCATTTTCTTCAATAAATAATATGTCTTGAAGAATCTATGTCTTGAAGATTCATATCATGCATATTCTTTTGGCAACCCATGAAATACTAAATACTCTTCTCCAACATAACTGTTCAAAGGCATCAATTTTTCTTCTGTCATCCTTATTCACTGTCCAACTTTCAGATACACACAAAGTAAAGGAAAAGACTATGGCTTGTATCAGGTGCACCAGAGTCTTTAAACAGACATCACTCTTCCTTAACACTGTGGGAAGATCCTTATAGCATATGTTTCTCAATGCAACATGAGTTTTGAATTCTTGACTGCTTCTACCAAGGGTTTGATTGTGGATCCAAATGAGATTAAATTGTTGACAATTTCAATCTTTATTCCATCTATTATGATATTGTCATAATAGGATTTTTGTTTCTTGGTGTTGAAATGTAATCCATATGGAAGGCTGTAGTATTGACTTCTGTGGCAAGTATTTCAAGTCTTCTCGTTTTCAGTAAGCAAGATTATATCACCTGCATAAAGCAGGTTGTTGATGAATCAAACTCTAAACCTGATGTCACATTTCTCTTCATAAATTCCAACTTCTAAAATTATTTGCTCAGCATACAGATAGAATAGGTATGGGGAAAGGATGTGACCCTGATGTACACTCTTCTTAATTTTAAATTATGTAATTTACACTTACGTAAAGGTAGAGCCACCACTATGGAACATGGTATTAAGTACTTGCTCTTTGTCCAAAGAGCATTTACTCTTGCATTTAACAATAATCTCTGCCTTCTATTGTCTCAAATTTATGATCTTATTAAAAGGAAACATCTTTGGGAGAGTATTAGCTGAAACCTTAGAGTTTATATATGTATGTACTTGTATCTCTTTGCAGTTGTTGTATTTGTTTATACATATACAATGTGTTTCCTTCAGTTCTTTGTTTTAATTTCATATAAAATAGTTCCTTTAATATCATGCATTTGTTCAGTAAGTTTTGTTATTGACCCATCCATGTATTCCAAAGATAAATTTACCCAATAGTTGTGTACTATTATTTTAACACTTTGCTGGATTCTCAATTTATATAGGATAATAAATGTCAGTATTTATGAGTTTTACTCATATATCGCTTCTTTATTATACTGTGCTTCCTATACCATATTGGTGTTTCACTATGGTCTGGAATGTTTGAAAAACTTTGTAATTATCTTTTATCTCAAAAATTAGATCAAACTTTCTTGACAACTTAACTTTTTCTATATTTCATACTGCTGAGATTAGTAGTAGACAAGTTATAAGAAATGTTGAGTCTACATTGTTCAGATTGCTAAATAAGTCCATGATATGTGACATCATCCATGCCTCCTTTGTTCCATCTTTCAACTCTTCTACATCCCTTAGGTTCAGTGGTTCACTGGAAGGTATCCCAGAGACTTGGACTTGTCGATACAGAGGCCAGTTTTGCAGAAACTGTTCAGCAATGGACCAAGATCTGTTAACCATAAGTTTGGTGCAGGTGGATGGTGACTATGAGTGGTGCAGGCTAATGGGGCAGACTGGACACATCTAAATGCTGTATCCCAGGCATTTGAGCATCCAAAAAGAGAAAAATGCCTACCATTAAGGTTTCATAAGCTTATATAAGCCTCTAAGAGGGTAAAGCTTCTATCATTCTAATCCTCTTTCTTTAATACAATAAATATTTCAGGACAAAATACTTAAGAGA